TAAGGGCTTCCTAACCCTAACCCAAGACCTACTCTCCTAACCCCAACCCTAACCCCAAACCTGCCCTCCTTCCCTCCCCTTCAGCCTCCTGTACACCAGTAAGGGCTTCCTGACCCTAACCCAAAACCTGCCCCCCTAACCCAAAACCTACCCTCCTAACCCTAACCCTGACCCCAAACCTGCCCTCCTTCCCCCACATACCCTAACCCCAAACCTGCCCTCCTTCCCCCCCTAACCCCAACCCAAAACCTGCCCTCCTTCCCCCCCTAAGCCTCCTGTACCCTATTAAGGGCTTCCCCCCGCTAATGCCTACCCAAAACCTGCCCTCCTTCCCCCCCTCAGACTCCTGTACACCAGTAAGGCCTTCCTGACCCTAACCCTGACACAAACCCTAACCCTAAACCTGCTCTCCTTCCCCCCCAACCCTAACCCTAACCCTGACCCCAAACCTGCCCTCCTTCCCCCCCAACCCTAACCCCAAACCTGCCCTCCTTCCCCCCCCCTCAGCCTCCTGTACCCCATTAAGGGTTTCCTAACCCTGCCCCAAAACTTGGGCTCTGGGATGTGTCCCCATCCCACCCCGTTCCCCTGGTTCCCCGCAGAGAAGCAGGTTTTCCAGCTGCGGGCCCACATGTACCAGGCCAGGAGCTTGTTTGCAGCTGACAGCAGCGGCCTCTCCGACCCCTTCGCAAGGGTCTTCTTCACCTCCCAGAGCCAGTGCACTGAGGTGACAGCTGGGGAGGGATGGAGGGGTGGAGGGATGGAGGGAGGGAGGGGTAGAGGATGGAGGGGTGGAAGGGTGGGGGGAGGTAAGGATGGAGAGATGGAGGGATGGAGGGATGGAAGGATGGAGGGGTGGAAGGATGGAGGGGTGGAAGGAAGGATGGAGGATGGAAGGATGGAGGATAGGGGGTGGAAGGATGGATGGAGGGAAGGATGGAGGGGGTGGAAGGATGGAAGGATGGAGGGGTGGAAGGATGGAAGGATGGAGGGGTGGAAGGATGGAAGAATGGAGGGGTGGAAGGATGGAAGAATGGAGGGGTGGAAGGATGGAGAGGTGGAAGGATAGAA